ATTGTGGAATTGTTTATGTTTCATATAATAGACTTGATATTTTCGATTCATCTTTCCAAAACAATCCTCAGATTAACAAAGGAAAATTATTTGAAGCATTTGGTGGACAGATTTATATCTATCGATGTAGTATTGATTCTTATTCATCTTATGGATTTGTTGATACATCAGAAAAAGGAGAAGTTTCATTTAAGAATATATTAAAGTTCATTGATTTAAGTCCATGCGAAGGAAATCTTGAAATATTATTATTTGAACAAAAGAAAGAAAATAAAATTATTTCATTATGTCCATCAATGAATTTTCTTTTTGGTAAGTATCATATTTCTATTTTGTTCATTACTAAACGATAAAAATTAATAATTTTTCATATCTTCTGCATTTTTTAAACAAATAACGAGAAAAATATAGAAATAATAATGATATCAATTCGATCATAGTCAATGGTAACTTCATGTATAATGTTGTAAACCAAATAGAAATATTGTAAAAATTATTAAATTCTGTTTATAGTAGTCTTGGGAATTAATTCTAAATTAAAGGGATGATTTTGAAAGTCTGGCGTAGTTTGTATTTTAGAGATAAATCCAAAAATATCAATTCTTTCATAGGAGAAAAATATCTTCGGGTGTTAAGTTGTAAACTAAGGCAGTGATCTTTTAACACATTATAATAAACTTTAAAATATTAAAAAAAATATTATGTTTTTAATCATACTCATTTTCATATGCACAAAATGATGACATTGGATCAACAATACCTTCATAAACTGTTTGATCGTCAATCATATCAACTTCGAAGTCTTTGCAGAACTTGTTGATCATTTCTGTGCAATCATCCAGATCGGATTTGATTTTATCGATTTCGTCACCGGATTCAAATTCAATCAAAAGTTCGTTCACTGCTCTTCGATGTTGTTTAAGTGCTTTAACAAGACATTCGGAGAACTTAGAAACGTTTTCTTCAAGAAGTTCTGGATACTTTTGTTTGATAAAACTCAAACAGTCACGTGCACAGTTAGGATGTTGCAATGTTGTATAAAGCATTTCTTTGTATCGACAAAGATCTTTTCCGAAAATAACCATTGGTGAATCCTTGAATGCACCAATGGGCATAGAAAGATATGGATCGAAGTCTTTCACAAGTTGATCAAGAGATGTGAATGCTCGGTTCAATGTATTAACACATAATTCTTTAACACGAACTTCCTGGATCTCGATCTTCTTGATAGAAACACCTTGATGATAAAATGGTAATTTTTCTGATGTTTCGATGTAAAGAGTTTTAATAGGATTCTTCAGTTCTTCAGATGATTTCTGTGATTGTTTATTGATAGAAACAACTGATCGGAACTTATCCCATGAATGAGGAGCTTCATCACCTTCGATTTTATCATCCGATGGCTCTAATTGGATCAAACAAATACCATCACCTTTGCATTCCTCATGATGATCGCAATAATCTGTTGGACAAACAATTCCTTCGCGATTCTTCAGTTGTTGAACAAAATGGATTGTTTCCGTCTTCTTGCAGCAGTATATTCGTTGATCTTTCTTGCCGCCTTGTCTTCTTTCTACCATGAAGAATGACAATGGAATACTGACACCAACTGTGTTTCCTGTAGAAATACTAGACAAATAATTGGACAATTTAGAACAGATTTCTTTAGACCGGCCGTAATCGCGGTTCTGATAAAGAACACGTAATGCCATTGATGACAAACCACGTAATGTATAATATAACTGTGCTTCTTCGCATAACCAAACAGATGAATTCAAATATTCAATCAAAAGATTTTCATTAAAATCAGACAACAAAATTTCGGCATCGGCATTCCTGCATCAACTTTAACTTTAGTTTCGACTTGAACTGAAGGAATGAAGAAGAATTCTTGATATGTTCTAGATCGGCCGTAATCATAGACATTGTTTGCCGTTCCGATTGGTTGTGTCGTTGATAAATGGAAACCGGGTGGTTTAGGCAATCGTTCGTTCTTCTTTTTATTTTCGAGTTTTTCATGTTTAGAACGATGTTCAACAACCGTAGCAATTAAACATGTACAATGTAATTGTGAAACAAACGCTGAGATATAATCACCGGATTCGATATTGATACGAACTAATTCACTCAACCACTTTAAGCGCATGTTTGGAAAGTCCATGTTTTCATCAGCCAATGACATTAATTGTTGACAACGAACGGACAATGCTTGTTTTGATGATTTCTGTTTTTCAACAATATCTGCAATGGATAAAGCAGAATCCATTCGATCACTAACTTTCTTTTTAAGTGATTTATTGTCTGGTGTAAGTTCTTTAATTATCAAAATATATTCTTTAAACATAGGAATCATTGAAACTTTGTTTTCTAAAAGAATTGTTGCGTATTCATCAATGAATGAAAGTGTGGAAACATTAACTTGTTCATATCGATTGTAATCTTGTTTGAAACTGTTAATAATCAATGCGGTACTCAATGCACGTGATTTTGCTTGTTTGTACATAATTAATTTAGTAGACATGATGATGAAATTACGTTCTAATGGATATGATTCGAATAATGAATCACAAAGTAAATACAAATACTTGTAGTTATCTGTTGGTTGGTATCGACACAACAAAACTTCAATTAACTGGATGACTTCGTTCATGCAAACACCTAATTCTGATTTGACGTCAAACAAAAATTTGATGTAAATATGTGTCAGCAAATCAAGAAGATTCAAGTTAATTTGTGGACATTCATATGTTGGTTTGATGACATCCAATGTGTCAATGATGATTTTTCCGGTCAATTTAAGGAATGAAATGAAATGACACTTGAATGAGATAGATAATGAATGGAAGAATGATAATAACTGCTTCTGTTCACTGTTCTTGATTAAGAATAAAACAAATGGAATCAATGCAATTTGCATTCGTTTGTTAGACATAAATAATGGAGATTCAAAATGATTAGAACATAAATCAATAAAAGGGAATAATACAAATGCGATTCGTTGTCGAATACTATAACAAATCTCATCTAAGTTAGATAACAATCGAGCTAAAAAGCCTGCACAAAGTGCAAATGTGTCGGGATCACGACCGCCAAAACATTGTTGTGTCGACAACAAAAATTGTGATGTAAGTTTCGAATAAGGAGAATACATAGCGTTCGTTGATAATGGTTTCATGTTGTTAGTCATGTTGATCAAGAAGTGCTTAGAAAGAGATAATGGAGATAAGAAAATCCATTGAACTCGTGTAGCTGACATTGGATGTGCAATTATGGGTCTGACCTTAGATATAGTTCGAAGGAATGTGTAAACGAATCGTACGATTTCTTCATTTCCAAGATCTGAAAGATTATGGAAGAAGAAGAGTCCCAATGACTCTGTAATGGAATTGCAATCAATATCCTAGTCAATAAGAAGCAAATCAAGTCAAGAAGTGAGTTGTTAATTGTAATTAAGTCTTGAGCTGTTGATTGAAGTTTGCCATCGGAGAAAACAATCTGCATAATGTCAAGAATAAGTGGTAAAGATGTTGAAAAGTCTGGAATGATTGTTGTTTCGATCTTTCCTTCAATGATTTCATGACAAAATGCTTTAATCGCTTCCGGATAGAATGTTGGGAAGTCATCACCAATTGTTTGTGGATCGAAATGATTGAACAACCACTTTCGAAGTGATGTTCTACCGCCATCGCCAAATGTGATCAATAATTGAACCAATGTTGGGAGAACTTTAGAATCGCGCTTCTTAATAATCGGCAGAAAAGAGGGATGATGTAAAGATCAGCATATGACTCGTCAATTCCAGACAAACTTGGAATATCGAAATTATCAGTCAATGCGTAGCCATGTTTTGAGGAGGGAAGTAGAATGGAGGGATAGTGATCTGTAATGACAAACCTTCTGATTTCTTTGGAGTTTGCAGAGTTACGTTGGCATCTTTAGAAACTTTGCCTGCTTCTGAGAAAAGCTCGACTTCTACAGATGTATTGTTATTACCTGAGATGCAACTTAATGGAATAACTGCTGTATCGATCGCTTTCTCTTTGATCTTAGAATTTTCTTCAACATGATAAAATTGAATCAGGAAATGACACTTTAAGATGTTCTCTGTAGGGACGATCGGTATGAAATCTGGGAATGCGTGTTTTGGATTGCCATTGAACATCGGAGAAACATAAAAATCTGTAAGACCTGTGCAATTCTTGTTTATGATTATTTTGAGAGTCTATAATTTTTTGTAGTTTGGTTTCTCACATACGCAAGCTTTGAAGTAAACTTTTCCTGATTTAAGATTCAACGTAGTCCAAATATCGCGAATTGTGATGATTGGATAAAACATTTTGATACATACTTATAAGATTGAGTTAGCTGATTTGATATAATCTCCTATTAAATGTAAGCTCAATTTGATTCGTAAAGATTCACGCCTTATGAACATAAGTATCTTAACATTCTCTCTTTGCTTCGTTAATATAGATATTTTCATCATCTGAATAATAAAATTATTCCTTATGATCTAAGATAAACTCAATTGTTTTTTTTTTTTCTTTGATCCGAATTCCACTTTTACGAGACGATATCGTAAATTCCTTTAAAATCTGAATCTGAAAAATATTTATAAAAGCATTCTTCATTATAATTTCATTAATTTATAGATTGTAGTTTTCAATTATAACGGCGCCTTCAGAATTTTGATATAATCACGTATTTTAAATTTTTTGATGCTTCACCTACTATTTCATCATTCGTCATCGATCGAAGAAAATTATACACGGATACTGCATTCAATAAATCCGTCTCGGGGTATGCATAAACAAAAAATTAAATCAACAAATAAAATGAATGAAGCAAGAGATATCAGACAAATTGATGCTGTATTGCCTCCATGTGTATCTGATGATGAATTAACTCTTCAATTTACAAATGATGAAGTAAAAACAATTCAAATTAGGGCTTGATGTTCATATATAACAATTGCTGTATTCAGAAATGCAAATATGTTTATGCTCGAAAATGGAGAACCTTTGAAGCCTGTTTATTCATTAATAAATGAAAATGAACATGAATATGAAAAATCAATTTTACTTAGAATAAAAGGTCGCCAGCCAAATTTAGTTCTTCAATATAATGGAATTTCAGAACGTTATTCATCTGATATGCATGTAAGTGTAGTTATCAATGTTAAAGATTTTACTTATGAATTGCCACAATTAACAAACTCACATTTAATAATTGCTTATGCAAATAAACCAACACATTATGTAAAAAGAATTAGTCAATCAAGTTATGGTTACTATCAAGGAAATCTATATTTTACTGATATCCATGAAAATTATGGGACTTGTGTTCATATTGATATGGAAAAAAGTGTTGAATATGAAATATCAGGAATATTTGATGTTGATGGTTGTCTTCCTGCATTTAAAGATGCTAAAAAAGTTGAAGTCATTTTTTCAGATGAACTAAAAACACTTAAAATTGATTCAACACCGATAAAAGTCATTTGTATGACAAAATGCGAACAGATTGTTGTTATGTCAAATGTTGCAGGAATCAAACGCGAAGATAATTATACAGATGATTCATCGATTCTTTCATCAACAAATGGACCACAAAATATATTAGTTTTCTTCATAAAGAAATCATTTTGGTCTTCCAAATATAATTATTCAGTTAACACAATGTCTGGTCAACAATCAGCATATTATTTTGAGTCTTCTAATACAAATCAATATATCTACTCTTATTCACCGTTTTCAGTGAATGTGAGATACCCTACGTTTCCAACTTCTGGAAAACGGTTTTTCACCCTTATGATCAGTTTCAGACACTTTGGGAGTCTCCCAAACTTTGATATTTTGCATTATGATAGAGAAACGTGTCTAGTTTAACGCACAGTTGTTTTAAAGGCAAATGATGATATCACATGAAATTATCAAATTATCAAATTTTGAAGTACCAGTCCAAAGGGTTAATTAGATCCTACACAGATGTGCGATAGTGAAACATATGTGTTCTTGATTTGAGAAGTCCTACTGATAGAGGTATGAATCTCACAGCTTTGTGTGAGTGTGTCTGACACTTGTATAGAGTGGAATATGCGCCGACATATATTATATAATAAGATGTAGTTGATAATTATGAAAAAATAGAATTCGATGCGAATGATATTGAAAGTTGTTTTTTAATTTGATATTTTTCTTATATGTGTTAATTAGTAAATGGCTTGTTTGTTGTGATAGTACTGTGAAAAATGAAAGGTATTTTAAATTAAAAAATTGAGATTTTGAGATATCTCTAGAATTAAGAATTTATTATGTATTTGACTTTTATATAACTATGTGTAAAGGATCTCGTTGTCTATATGCTTTAAATAAAATTAAATAAAATGAGATAAAAAATTAAAATGGACAAGAAGATATATGGAAATGTAATTTGTATTGTGTTGGTGGTTGGCAAAATGATTTTAATACAGATTTAAGGATTTGGAATGGATTTGAAATTAAATGATTTTAATTCAAGGAGTAATAAGATTTTGAACTGGTTTTTATTTTGTGAATGTAAACTCCTTCCATAGGATATGTATTAGAAAGATCAATGTCAAACTTTTTGAAAGAATTGTTTTTTTGTTGAGCGATTTTCTCATATTTAATAATATATTTAAGTTGGCATATCTTACGCCCTTCCAAAAATATGTATTAGAAAGATGACTTATAATTTCATAAATTATTTTGTCCCGACGGTTTGAGCGGTTATCAGAATGGTTGCTTACACAATGCGTCAGCAAAATGTCGGTTGGGGTGCCATTCTTGGCCTCCTGAGTACTCACCAAGATACCCCCAGCTCCCGCAAAACACCACCCTTAGGTGCGCATTACCTGACGGCATTATTTTGCAATTATTTCAAATTTTTTAGATGTCTTTTGTTAAAGTTTGTTAACTAAAGACTTGAAAACAGCTTACCGCTTCAAGCTGCTCTCTTCCCGGTTCCTCTGCCGCAATCTTATGTCTGATTGTGCGCAAAGCTCTCCTCCTTGTGAACCATGGCTGATAGAAAGAACTGAAAGACAGGATAGGAGGAACATGCCGGTTCAAGTTAACTTGCAATATGCTTCTGATTAGTGATTTTAGATGAAAGATTAGCGAAATCGCATTTAATTTGGATAGAAGGATTCAATTTTATGAAGCAGGCTCGTAGACAATATGCAGGAATAGCACAATCTTTTGCAATCACAACGCGATTGCAAAACTTCGACCGACAAGAGTGTATTGTGCACTCTTGTCGGTCTGCATGTCTCATTCTGGGAGACATTGTCACTGCATGTCTCCCAAAATGAGACACTCTTCCGCATTCATAACTTGAATGCGGAAGTTTGACCGACAAGAGTGTATTATGCACTCTTGTCGATCTAAATGTATCTTACAATCAAAGACACTTTCATACAATCTTTTCGAAGTTAAAAAAAAATTTAATTATTTCTTTCTTTTGTTTATTAAATCCCCTTACTCACGTACTAATCTCTTTTAGAGACTCTATCGAGCTATCCCCAGATATAAACCTGTGACAATAATACGTATTTACTCTCTTCATATTCTGATCTCATGACACATTATCGCAAAAACTATAATTATACAACACATCTCATAAAGTCTCATTTTAGCCCTATCTAAGCGTTCAAAACATATTTTCCACACGTAATCTGATTCTTCTGGCTCCGCTGATTCGATTTCTGCTGTCAGATCGTGAAAATATGCATCACATAAAGAGATAAACACAACTCAAAATTATTGCTTTTTTTTCAAATTGTCTATTCATCCATCTTTACATATTTATTATCTCCTCCGTTTCCCCTCGCAAATTCTTTTAATTTTCTGAATAATACGTATAATAAAATGAATATCTCAAAAACTAAAACACAAAATTAATGTTGGAAAATGACTAGATATAATCTGAACTTTTGAATTCATACATTTTTGGAAAAAAATTGAATTTTCAAAAAAAGAGCTTATTTAGGTATGAACCTGAAGAGAAATTTTAAGGAAAATATTAAGTTGTGCAATTTGCATTTATCTCTTTATGTGATGCATATTTTCACGATCTGACAGCAGAAATCGAATCAGCGGAGCCAGAAGAATCAGATTACGTGTGGAAAATATGTTTTGAACGCTTAGATAGGGCTAAAATGAGACTTTATGAGATGTGTTGTATAATTATAGTTTTTGCGATAATGTGTCATGAGATCAGAATATGAAGAGAGTAAATACGTATTATTGTCACAGGTTTATATCTGGGGATAGCTCGATAGAGTCTCTAAAAGAGATTAGTACGTGAGTAAGGGGATTTAATAAACAAAAGAAAGAAATAATTAAATTTTTTTTTAACTTCGAAAAGATTGTATGAAAGTGTCTTTGATTGTAAGATACATTTAGATCGACAAGAGTGCATAATACACTCTTGTCGGTCAAACTTCCGCATTCAAGTTATGAATGCGGAAGAGTGTCTCATTTTGGGAGACATGCAGTGACAATGTCTCCCAGAATGAGACATGCAGACCGACAAGAGTGCACAATACACTCTTGTCGGTCAAAGTTTTGCAACCACATTCTGATTGCAGAATATTGTCTCATTCTGGGAGACATGCAGTGACAATGTCTCCCGGAATGAGACATGCAGACCGACAAGAGTGCACAATACACTCTTGTCGGTCAAAGTTTTGCAACCACATTCTGATTGCAGAATATTGTCTCATTCTGGGAGACATGCAGTGACAATGTCTCCCGGAATGAGACATGCAGACCGACAAGAGTGCACAATACACTCTTGTCGGTCAAAGTTTTGCAACCACATTCTGATTGCAGAATATTGTCTCATTCTGGGAGACATGCAGTGACAATGTCTCCCGGAATGAGACATGCAGACCGACAAGAGTGCACCATACACGTTTGTCGGTCAAACTTCCGCATTCAAGTTATGAATGCGGAAGAATGTCTCATTCTGGGAGACATGCAGTGACAATGTCTCCCGGAATGAGACATGCAGACCGACAAGAGTGCACCATACACGTTTGTCGGTCAAACTTCCGCATTCAAGTTATGAATGCGGAAGAGTGTCTCATTTTGGGAGACATGCAGTGACAATGTCTCCCAGAATGAGACATGCAGACCGACAAGAGTGCACAATACACTCTTGTCGGTCAAACTTCCTAATACAAAATTTGATTCCCTTATTATCTTCTTAACAAAACTTAAGATTTCAATAATACATCATGAAAACATTCATTTACTACATTCACACTGTTATTCCTTTCTATAAATTAACTCATTTAATAGAATCTTGTTTTTATATCTTATTATTTTCTCATAATACTTCTAATTCCTCTATTTCCTCTTCCACATAAAATTTAATTTTGTAATGCTATCATATACACTTAATGTTTTCAAATTTTCAGATTTAAATTTAATCTTTATTTTCATCATCATTTATAATCTTGTTCCTATATAAAGTTATAATAAATTATCGTCAGATTCTAATATTTATGATTCTTACTACTCAATTCAATATAATTATGTTAGTCACTATATTCAGGAGAATAATTTAAAAATCTATAGCTCATATTTTGATAGTTATATATTTAGATGATATATATTGCAATTCCGGTTTCAACACGATCAAATGCCAAACCAAGACAAAATATATATGAATTTTCAAAATATCGATTTACATTAGAATCTATATCTAATTTTATCAATACACAAGTAGGGAATGTTCAATACATCTTTGAGCAACGTGAATAGCACAATTTTAAGGATTATTTGTTGATTATATAAAATATAAGCCAAATCGAATCTGCTGTATAGTACTTTAGTTTATCATTGAATGTTAAATGTGTTCAGATAAATATTTGAGTCAGATATCGCATTTTCTAATTTCAAAATTTATCTCATGAAGTTAGAATTTATTTGATCATACAACATCATGTTAGTCAAACTAGAGTTCAATGGCGATTCTAAAATGGAACAAATGCTTGTTTTATCAAAATGTTAAAATATTAATCTAAAAAACTTAATATCTAACCAAACCATTCTAGAATTATTATATACAGGTATAGGCAATCTAAATGCACACGGAATTCGGAAAATTAAAAAGAATATTTATGAGATTATTCAATCTTATGTAATTCAATGAAAAGTAGATAATATGAATATCTATAGGCTATATATCAACATATGAGTTTTTGGTTTGACCAATACTATACTAATGTGATCAAATTAATCTGATTTCTTAGATTTTCATTTGAAGCATTTGCAGTAGTAGGGGTACCTTTATATATTAACATATTAAAAAATTGCGCTCCGATTTGCAGTTTCTTCATGATTTTGAGATTGCATTAGATTTCGCGATGCAGAAAAAAATCACTTTAGATTCCCGTCAAACTCTAAGTATAAGCATATCTCTATATGTAGAAACTGTCTGCGCTATTTATTTCCCGGCTCAAAAAACCACGGTGTCTGTGTGAGGAAAATACCCATTTTAGGACCCTGGGTAGGGGGTCATGAAAATTTTCCAAGAGTTGGAAATATATGGTATTATATAGGACCACAAAGTAAGTCTAGGAGTCATATTTATTGTAAAAATAATAACAATGAATTATTACTATCAGAAGATTTAAAGGAATCAGAGATTTATTCATGTAGTCATACAAACTATATTAACATTTTATTAATTGACGGAAGGATCGAACTTTCTGATTTTAAATTTGATGATCCAAAGATATCAAATGAAGGCTATCCTCAGTATGATAATGGAAATTTGAAGCCATTATGGTTACCAAAAACACAAACATCGAATGAAACTTCAGGTACTGATAATCAGAAGAAT